CTGGTCAGTTTATCATGGTAAATTGACTGTTTGTTTTTTTTCAAGCTTCTTTAAAGTCCATTTGTCTTCCAGCAGCGTAGCCTGCCCCTCTTCCTCTCTCCAAACTTTGACCTGAGGGCCCATGTGGAGTCTCTGGGTCATGGAGTGACTGGCTGCACGGAACTGCGGCTGACGTCTCGACGCTGTGCGGGCTTCCTGACCAAACGAGGGGGGAGGGTCAAAACCTGGAAGAAGAGATGGTTCCTGTTTGACATGGACCACAGACGACTAGCCTACTATACAGGTTAGACTGGTTGGAGGGGTGTGCTCGCTGACTCTGTGTTTGCCTCTTTGTTTGAATGAACCTTTCTCTGTCACGCTAGGAGGTGGTCAGACTTATTATAAGATTACATCACATCAAAGTTTTTATTCTAAACATTTTTTTAAAAATTTTTCTTACGTTTTATTGTGCTTTGAAGAAAGAACAAGGAATTATTTTTTTTTTAAATTCACATTGACTTAAATATTCAATATTAATGTTCTAAAATTCCTTTTTTGCCTTTGCTGCAGACTGTGATGAAAGGAAGCTAAAGGGAGTCATTTATTTCCAAGCAATAGAGGAAGTTTACTACGACCATCTACGAACAGGCACCTCTGTGAGTTCTCATATTTTACGCAACTGGACTTTAAATAAATCTGAAGTTTTTCATGTGTTCCTGAGCACAGACCTTGGATCAGAAGGGCAACAGTTTGTAAATGTAGCTTAAACTGCACTGGACTCATTTTGTAGAGGTTCTAAAGTCATTTCTTGACATGTCATCCAGTCATAAATCCGCCAAAACACTTTCAAAAAATATTTCTAGAATCTCTTTACAGAATGTTTTCAGGACCAATATTTATAATGATTATTAAATATATTACAATAGCGCAGAGAGGAAGTCCAATAAATATTTTCTTTCTCCTGAAACGTACAGTTAACACAAACAAAACAACTCAAGTAGAATTAAGATGACTATCACAGGTACACACATGTGCGTTTGAGTTTATTGTAGTATGTAAACCAGTTACAAAATTTGTTTTGCTACCTTATATTTCCAAATAGTTTTGTTTATATGATATGACCTGATACATGTACCATCATATTTGAATAGACTAGAAATCAAAGGTAGGTTGTTGGTAACATTAGTACTGCTTAGTAAGACTTTTATTTGGTGCTCACAGGCATCTTCTAAGAAAGTAATAGTGTCAACCCTCTTACTTACAGTGACCTTATTCACCATGTAGGAATAAATGAGGAAAAGAAAATCCTCAGGGAAATAGTTTGTGGTCAGAAGATCCTGTTCTTTTCTTAGTTGTGTGAAACAGGTGATTATCAGTCTGCACTTATACAACAAATAGAGGCTAAGTTAATGCTGCAAGACAGAAATGAGAAAGATGGTTAAAAAGTACAAACATTATTGTAACATTAATCTCTTATTACCAGACTTTTGTTCTGCTGGGCAGCGGTTTTACTCGGATATACACTACCAGTGAAAAGTTTGGACACACCTTCTCATTTAATGGTATCTATCTATACAGATAGAGAGAAAAAAATGATAAATAACTCTAAATATACCTTGCATTTTAGATTCTTGATAGAAGCCACTGTTTGCTTTGTTGACAGTGCTGAAAACCCTTGACCTTCTCTCATTGAGCTTCATGATCACCTGGAATGGTTTTCAGTTCACAGGTGTGCCTTGTCAGGGTTCATTTGTGGAATTTCTTGCCTTCTTAATAGGCTTGTGTTGTGCAGAAATTAGGTTGGTACACAGCTGACAGCCCTATTTGGTTCTTGCCATGATTCTAATAGTTGTCAATCAGCTAAGTAAAGGGAAACAACAGGAAGATAGGAAGACTAAGAGTCACCTCTGCTGCTGAGGATAAATTCATCTGAGTCACCAGCCTCAGAAATCGCAAGTTAATGAAAAGCAATGAGCACAAGATATTTTTTTGGACCAAGAAACACAAGGAATGGACATTAGTCCAGTGAAAATCTGTGCTTTGGTCTGATGAGTCCAAATTTGAGATCTTTGGTTCCACCCGCTGTGTCTTTGTGCAACGCAGAAAAGCTGAACGGATGTTCTCTACATGCATGGTTCCCACCATGAAGCTTGGAGGAGGTGGTGTGATGGTGTGGGTATGTTTTGCTGGTGGCACTGTTGGGAATTTATTCAAAATTGAAGGCACACTGAAACGGCATGGCAACCACAGCGTCCTGCAGTGACATGCCATCACATCCAGTCTGCGTTTAGTTGGACCATCATTTATTTTTCATCAGAACAATGACCCCAAAAACACCTTTGGGCTGTGTAAAGACTATTTGACAAAGAAGGAGAGTGATGGAGTGCTGCGCCACATGGCCTGGTCTCCACAGTCACCTGATATAAAGCCAATCCAGATGGTTCAGAATGAGATGTACCACAGAGTGAAAGCAAAATGACCAACAAGTGCTCAGCATGTCTGGGAACTCCTTCAAGACTGTTGGAAAATCATTTCAGATGACTTATGAAGCTCATCGAGAGAATGCCAAACGTGTGCAAAGCAGCAATCAAAGCAAAGGGGGGCTGTTTTGGAGAATATATAATTCTTTTTTTGCTTGCTACATAATTCCACGTGTTCATTCATAGTTTTGATGCCTTCAGTGAGAATCTACAATGCAAATAGTCATGAAAATAAAGAAGAACGATTAAACTAGAAGGTGTGTCCAAAATGACTGGTATATCTTAACAAACAAAAAAAACATTACCACTAAGCAAAAAAAAGCTGCTTCTTCATCAGCTGATGACGGTTTCATTGTCTGTGCCTTCTTTTTAGTCACCACGGCCCAGTCTGACGTTCTGTGTGAAGACATATGACCGTCTGTTCTTTCTGGTGGCTTCCAGTGCAGTGTCCATGCGGATTTGGATGGATGTTATTGTCACAGCAACAGACGAGCATAGTCGTTATTAACTTTTGAATTTACAATCCTTGCTTCTAGGCAGGCAGCGCAAGAGGGCTGTGTTTCCCTCTCTGCTGTCTAAGGTCTGATTTTGTTGAAGATCCACCTCAGGAGCTCATTCTATACCTGGACTCATGAATATGTGAATAAAGTGCACGAGATACAGATGTGGTTAAACTGAGTTGTGGAAACTGTTACTGACAGAGTGATTGATGGCGACAGAGGTTCACCAGCTGCAATCCACAAGCAGCTTCACTCAGCAGCTTGCACAATGGGTGTCTGTTACTGGGAGGTGTTAAGCTGAGTTTTACCTCCCTCTCCTGGTCACAATCCAGCATTACAAGAATGATGTACACTACGCAATAATACACTACAGCAGGTGGTGAACATAATAACAACTCCTGTGCAATACTATGCATTCCACTGTAACAGTCCAAAAATAAGTGCACTTAAATTAGACTGTCAGAGGCACGTCGAGGTTAAACACTGTGACCGTTTTGTGTTGTAATATGTTTTGGATTGCTTTATATTGTCAGATGTTCCCATTAAAATGTCCAAATTTCTCTGTTTTTATTGAAGATGCATTGTAAATGACATTTTTTAAATTATTTATTATTCAGAAATTTTTATGGGTTTGATTTTCATATAAATGAAGACATACACTGTTATGCACTATTAAAATTTTATTCATAAAAAAAGTTTTATCTGCATTTATTCATAATAAACTTTTTATTGTAAGATGGTTGCAATAATAAATAATTCTGACGAATGAATGTGGAAGTTACAGATATGATCCAGTTTGTCATCTTCTTGTCATCATCTTCTTTTGGCTGCTCCCTTTAATGGCTGCCACAGCAGATCATCTGGCTCCATGTCACCCTGTCCCTGGCATCCTCCCGTGTTACTCCAACCCTCTGCATGTCCTCCTTCACTACATCAACAACATCCTTTGTCTGTTATCAACTGTTGCTTCTCTGCAAGATTGAAATGTCTATGCCAGGGGTGCCCAATCCCGGTCCTCGAGAGCTACCGTCCTGCAGCTTTTGGTGCATCCTTGTTCCCACACACCCAAATCAAATGAATGGCTTGTTATCAGGCCTTTGCCAAACATGATGGCATGCTGAAGAGGTAATCAAACCATTTGATTCAGCTGTGTTGGAGTAGGGATGCATCTAAAAGCTGCAGGATAGTAGCTCTCGAGGACTGGGATTGGGCAGCCCTGGTCTATGCTATCTCTAACTTTGTCCCCAAACTGTTCAACCTGAGTTGTCACTGATTTTTAGTTGTGTCCATTCTGGTCACTCCCAGTGAAAATCTTGGCATTTTCAATTCTGCCACCTCCAGCAAAGCCTGCTGTCTTTTCATCAGTGTCACCATCTCCAAACCACACAGCGGGTCTCGCTATCATCTTGTAAACCTTCCCTTTGCCTTGTCACCTGACACTAAACTCAACCAACTCCACCCCACCTTACCTTCACCCTCTCTTCTTCACCTCTCCTGTGCATTGTCAGTTACTTTGGATGGTTGACCCCAGATACTTAAAACTCATTCACCGTCATTACCTCGTACGTAACATGTTCAGCTTTCCACGTGTCTCCCTTGCCCACACACGTCTTGCTTCTGCTGACTTTTGTAGTTACTGCAGTTCTGTATATCACCCTTGCTCCTGAAAAACATAACATTGAAAATCAGTTTAGTGTCGAGCTATTTCCAAGTACATCACTGTGTACACTCACCAGGCACTTTATTAGGTACACGTTGCTGGTACAAGGTACCAGAACTGTCTTTATTCTGTCTTTATTGTGTCATAGAATATTAACATCAGCTCATAATTCACCTTTCTTTCCCATTTCAAGCTCTCAGTGGGATCAAATGCATTATACAAATAATGCATTATTATGCACAATTCTGCACTTGGTTAAAACAGCTGAAATACAGAGAGAGTATCAAAACCTTGTTGTTCTGCTGCACGCCACTCCCCGGACACATCTGACAAGAGCTGTGTGCGACATCCAGACACACTACCAGTCTGACATGACTCACTTGTTGGATTACTACTACTGATGCTTTAATGCTTGTAAACCCTTCATTTTAACTTTATTAATATTATTTTTATGATTGTATACTTTAAAATGATCTCAGGATTTGTGACCTCAAATTATTTTTTTTAAAACTTTTTTTTTCTTTCCAGAAAAGACACTGTATGCTGAACACTTCTGTTGGCTTTTAAGGTAAGACTGTTACCTTAATAAAAGTACTAAATATTATATGAAATACTGTTGAGGATAAAGAATAAGATCATGGATGATTTTTATATTGCTTCCTCTTTTTCATCATTTACCATTTTAGTTAATTATTACCTTCAAAAAGGGGAATAATTACATAAACAATGAAGCAAACAAAGTCTCACAGGCTTAAAACAATATTTCAGTTATTTTCAGCAAAACATCAACATTTTGTAAAATGGAAATAGTGTGACTCTCAGCTTGTCCTAAAGACTATGTTTGAATGTTAGCCATACAATAACATTTATAGCAAGCAATAAAAGTGTCCTGTTTCCAGTACCTCACTCGGATCATCAGACGAATATGACGGTTGCAATAAAGGTTTTCTTTATATGCAGTCTACTTCAAGGTATGTTATTTTAATTTCAGTCATGTTGCTAGGGACTTATCTGTCTTTCCACATATGTAGATGCAAATGCAGAACCTTTACATTGGCAGTAATTAGAATGTTTACTTTACCATACCTAATGTCATGTTTCTGCTGCTTCAACTCAGGTAGCTTATGCCAAAACTGGGCAGTCTTCTTGCCTCAGACTGTAGAAGCACTGAGTGGATCCTGCGTGTTGATCCGCTGCAGATTCACCTTGCCCCCAGAATGGGAGGAATTCCTGGATGATTCATGTAAAGCTATCTGGAAGAAAGGCTGGAGTAGAACTCCGGTGTTTGATTCCAGCCTCACTGGTGCAAGTGGAAGCTTAAATATCCAGCAAGGAAACCTGACTGGAATCCTGCGTGACAAAGACTGCACCACCATCTTCAACAACATGCCACCACGCCATTATGACAACTATTACTTCAGACTGCAGTGTGACAATGATTTGAAGTTTAACTTTCCTTCAAGTGTCCTCATATCCACTCAAAGTTTGTCCCCTCCTCTTGCTATTCTACACATAAAGCCACATCTTTACTACATTTTAGGTCATTATGTCATTTTTGTATTGTTCTACTTTTCAGATTCACTGCCTAAACCTACCATAACGCCATTGAACCTGGAGGTAGAAGAAGGAACTGCAGTGACATTGACCTGCTCCGCTGTTTCTCACTGTCCCATTCTTCCTCCACTTCTGACATGGTCGCCCGCTTTAGGTGACACAGAGGAGGAAGTGGAAGCTAATCCTGCGACCTCTGTGATGAACTTCACTGCTTCTCACCTTCACAATGAACAAAAAGTTTCTTGCACTGCCGTCTATAACCGACAAGCTGGGAAAAGTGACCTTCTGTATGAAAAAATTCTGACGCTAAGTGTTCTTTGTGAGTATATTTTATCACCTTTTCTTTTATTGTTTGCATTCATACCATAACATGATTTTATTTATGGTCTGATATTATCTGATTTGGTCTTCTCCAGGATAATAAAAAACCTATAAAAGAACATCTAATCAGATGGTTTAGGTTTTTTTTTGTATAGTTTCAAAAGTCACTCTGTTTCAATGAGCTTCAGTTTTGCCATTCAATCAAGTTGCAATCAAGCGCTACAGCTGGGATAGACCCTTGGTTACATTGTAAACATTTGGCAGGTCTCCAGAAACACAAATCCAGTTTTGCTGATGTGAAAAGACAAATGTTTATCATTCCAGTTGTAGGCTTGACACTGGTTATGAGTGGCCCAAAAAATCTGTCTGTGCAGATAGATTGTGTATTAACAATTTCATATTTCTCTTACAGATCCTCCAAATAACACATCCGTTAGTTACTCTGGTCCTGTAAAAGAAGGCAGCTCAGTGACCGTGACCTGCAACACTAATGCAAATCCAGCCGTGGACAGCTACAGCTGGTACAAAGTGAATGGAGATCAGGTGTCAGTGGTGGGATCAAAGAAGAGGTTTTCAGCCACAGTGTCAGAAGTTGACAGTCAGTTTTTTTGTGGAGTCAGTAACAGTTATGGAAGCCAGAATTCTTCTATCACTCAGATTGACGTACAGTGTAAGTGAGCCTGAAACAAAAAGACAGATTATAAATGTTGGATCACAGCATAGACTGAACCCATGCTTGTTTATTTTTCCAGTTTCCCCGAGGGAAACAACAGTAATCGTCGATCCCACTGGTCCAGTTCTGGAGGGCAGCTCTGTTTCTCTGATCTGTAAGAGCCGCTCTAACCCACCAGTGACCAACTACACCTGGTACAGAGATAATGAGATGGATAAGGAGCCCGGACCAGTCTTGGTCATAGACGGTGCCGACACCAGCCACAGCGGTGATTACCACTGTACAGCCAAAAATGATCTGGGAGAGGAAACGTCAGCAGCAATTCAGCTGGACATTCAGTGTGAGTTAATTTAACACAGTAAAGACATTGATTTACACCGAAAACAAACAACAGAACTGTATTTCTCCAGTGTGCTCACGTCCTGAACATGGCTCTACTGTATATCCAGCTGTGCTCAACCCAACATGATCTGGGGCCAAGACTTGTTAACAGGGCAACACTAGTGTCTGAGCTATGGACAGTAACACATTGTCATATTGCGTGACAACCTCAAAACCTTCTGAGTCCATCATGACTGAGCTCCACTGTGTCCACATGTGTGCCAGTGTCTGAATGTATGTGTAGCTGTTTTGTTTAATTTGTGTCCTCATCAAGCTGTAAGAGTACAGAAAAGTATGATTAAAGCCCCCCCAAAGCAAAACACATTTAATTCGATCAAAAAGGAATAATATGAATCACAATGAAAAAGAAAAAAGTATTATGCATATCAATTAATAACTTTCTGCCCTAAAACTTGCACCAGAACATCCTAATTTATATATTTTCTGAAAGGCTGAATATGCATTCCCAAACAAGTAAAAAAAAGTCTTTGGATGCAATACTAACAAGGAACATTATTTTCCTTTCAGATCCTCCTAAAAATACTTCAGTGTCTGTTGACCCTTCTGGTCCTGTGCTGGATGGCAGCTCTGTGACTCTGACTTGCACAAGCATCGCCAATCCAGCAGCGGTGAACTTCACCTGGTTCCAGGTGGCAGGAAGGAAAAAGGAAGCGGTGGGCTTTGAGCAACACTTCACCTTCAATGTGACCAAACTCTCAGATGATCAATATCATTGTGAAGCTCTTAATGTCCATGGAGCTGAATGCTCAGAGCCTGTCAGCATTGATGTCACATGTAAGACTCTTATTCTTGCTTTCATTCCTTTGAAGCCTTTATGTTTCCCCAAGAAAAGCGCCCATAAGCCTAGTTAACCCATTACCTTCTTTGTCTCAGTTGCTCCAGAGATCCTATTTTCTTCCCGCTGTGTGAAGATTTTGTCCCAGATCCGATGTACCTGTAACACTCAGGGGAACCCGCTTCCCTCCCTGGTTTGGCAGCTGGCTGGCGAGCTTGTCAATCACTCTGCTGATATCCCAATTCGGGAAGTAAATCTGGGGAGCACGAGCGTGAGGAGCATCATCACTCTGTACTACCTGGGCCAAGACATGCCCTCTCTGGTCTGTCTGAGCAGCAACTCCCTGGGGTCTGATAGTATAGCTTTCAATATATCCTCCAGTGAAACTCAGCTAGGTGAAGAAATCTCTAGGAAGCTTCATTTTATATCTGGCTTTTCTGTTGTGTCATTTGCATCTTTTAGTGATTGATATGACTGTTTTGTTTTTTTTAAGTCCTCCATACTCTTTCTTTGCTGATTGGTTCTGGAGTGGGAGCACTGGGGATGTTGCTGGTTTTCATACCGCTACTGATATGCCTTTACAGGTGAGGAACACAGAACACTGGTACCAGATATTTTCAAAGTAGGTTACGATTATCATGTATAATCAAAAATGCATATAACAGACATATTTCAAGGTTCCTTTTGTAAGCTGACTAATTATAGAGCAACCACAGCTGCCACAAATCATTACTAACAAGGCAGCCTTCTGATGAAACTTTATCTGCCCACCTTGAAGCTGAAAACACACACGTGTAATACACGAATTGTGACAAAATCAAAACATTATCAGGGGGATAACGACTTTTAGAGTTTTTAACCTTGTGGCAAGGAATTTTCAAGGAGAAAGTATTTTTCCTAAAGCATATTTCAATGTAAAATTTTTAATGTGAATTAAACCTTTCACCTTTCTGTGATGGTTGCAGGAAAAGGAAGGGCAATGTTTCACTTGACAAGGGACTTGTGGATATTTCAGACTGTTTAGTCACCAATGAGGTGAGTTTATGTTGATGCATATATATGAGTTAGATGAAGAAAAAAATCCCACCTGTGGTAGAATGAGTTTGCCTCCAGCTCTTCTTGTGTACTTGCCAATGTGTTAGTGTGATTTAAACACCAAAACATATTGTCTGTGAAGGTTCTCAGTCATCCAGGTCATCGTAGTCTAAAGACCAAGTCTAAAGAGCTTGGAAAGAGGAAGAAGCTTCTCGGCTGAGAGAAGAAACGTCTTCAAGAAACTTCCAGACGTCTTTCTTTCCAAGCTCTTTAGATTCCAAAACATATTCTGACTCTCTGAGCTAATGGTGTGTCCTGTTTGAATGATAAAATGAACGTTTTCTTGCATAGTAAATGTGAATATAGTATGCCAAAACATATGCTCTTAAAAAAACACAGTTAAAGTGAACCTCATTATTGAAATAGAAAAAAACACATCTTTTCTGTGTTACTGAAACACACTGTTGTGGTTTCTCTGTAGACTAACTCTTCAAAGGCAGATGTGATTTATGTCAATAAAGCCATTCTTGAGGCAGAAGCAGCAGAATACAAGGATGACTCTCTCCATTATGCTGATGTGGACTTTGCTCAACTTCAGGCCAGGTCAGAGGGCAAGCTCGGGGAAGGTGAGATCGAAGGCCTGGTCTCTAAGACTGGTGTGGATTCTGAGATCCATCGAGAAGCACCAAGCAATGGAGGAGATGCAAAGTAGGAAGAAACACTTGCAGATGCTCATTTTGGAAGAAAGAAAGATGCTAAGGGACTTACATGAAGGGTTGATGAGAAAGTGGTCACTTAGCTTTAGAGGAATTGACAGCAGAAGCCCAGGAGTTTGGACATTCCCTCCGGCCCTGGTTTTGATCCTCGTCTGTAAATTCTTCTCCTGTCTTACTAGTAAAAATAGACATATCTGTATGCTGAGGTTGAATCTTTAACTATATGCATATGACTAACCTTTGTCTAATTCTAAAAAAACCTTTGTGGAGTGTGTAAGAAGCAGGTACAACCTAAAACTTGTTAGGCACTTGTTTTTATTGACAACTTTGTAATGCATAATTATTATGTGATTAAAAGAGTAACTGGCCCTGCAGCCAAGTTTGCCATCAAACAACAGCTTGTGTCAAAGCAGGTTATGAAATGGAACTATGCATACAGTAAAGTACTTTAATTTCAAGACAGATATATATATACATTAAAAAACTCAGCAGGAGGATGGGAGCACAATTTTACAACAGCAGTCATTTCATTTTATCACTTATCCATATACACTTCCCCAACAGTCTTACATCTATGATAAAAAGATAGGTTTGTGTACTTGTGGGGACTTATTACTATACATAAAGGGAAGCTAAAATTATATCCCAGGAAGGAAAAAAGAAACAATGAGGTAATACAAGCCTTGTTCAGTATAGTTAGCCTGGCAAATATATTTCAGAACGTCCATGGCACAAACTGGCAGAGATGTCTGAATAGGATCAAAGCATTTTTAGTCAAATTTTGACCTGAGAGTACTGAGTTTCATCTTCGCTGCTGCTGCTGCTGCTGGAGTCTCGCTGGTGGCCAGACTTTGGCTTAATGTTCACATGAGCATAGTTGACCTCCACCTCATCTTCACTGGTATCTGTCTCTGAGTCAAAGTTATATGTATATGGAGGTTTGGGTGGAAGCTCTTCGCCGATGTTCTCATAGTCCTCCTGCACTTCTTGTTCTGTCTAGATGACAAAAAGTGACAAAACGGTGTCATAATTTCTGACAGTGTCTGGATTTGATGTACAAAAATAACCCTTGTTGAAGATCATTTTCATTCTTTACTTTGCCTTAACTTAATTTTCCTTGCTACAATGATTTTTATTTGTATTTGTATATCATATACAATGAGTATATGATATACAAATACAATGAAATAAGCTAATAAACTGAATGAGATACAGGGGGGAAAAGGCATTTTGAGCTTTCTTACCACTTTTGATTTCTTAGGCTTTGACACCACAGAGTACTCAGCATCCTCCTCTGAATCCCTGGGGAAAACATATAGTCATAAAAGAAGTCATGTAATAACATATCATTTAGGCTCCTTTTATATACAGAACTGAATTCTCACTTTTTTCTATTCTCAAAGAACACAGAAGCGTAGTTGAGAGAATCATTTCCCATGTTTCCACCATGTCCTTTGATTGGGTTTTGTGCAGAGGCAGCCTGAGCAAATGCAGAGAGAACTTGTCAATGAATGTAGAGTAGCAACTGAATCAGTTCATTCATGCCTTACATGAAGGATAATTAATAACTATACTGACAGATATATATTAACAGTAAGGGACAGCATAAGCACAAGGCTGGATTAGTGGAGATAAAACTTTACAAACTACTCTTGACTTTTATTATTTTCTACAGAGCCCCTAAAGTACTGAAACATTTTAAATGGATTTGTCTTTGTTGAGCTTGCACTGATATGATTGGATCACCTGTTTGCTTTTGGGCAGATTCACAGCAGAGTAAACAGTGTTCACGTTGGATGCAGTCCTGTGGAAAAATAATGATGTTAAAAATAAAAAATGCACATTCAGAATCAGAACCATTCAAAAGCTGAGCAGACTCTGGGTGTGCCATTCATAACTGAATGATGTTAAATGGGTGCTTTGACGAAAGAGTGAGCAGCAGCACCCAGCTCCCCTGCCAACAACGAGTCCCTTGTTCTGAGCTGGACAGTGCGAGCTGCTGCAGACTTACGTGCTGTCTGGATGATGCTGGGGTCGTTGGGCATTTGGTTGACATGGATGGTTTAGCAAGAGGTCATCTCTGCTCCTGAACGGCTCTGCCAAACCACTCTGATTCCCACTGCTCCTGCTGACTCCATTCCAGGAACCCTGATTCAGTTTACAGATGGAAATGCATCATTTTTGTTTCATTTCACTAACAATTCAAAAGATTTAACATATGAGTTAATACCAGAAAACTACTCCAGGACCACACATTTGTAGTTCTTTGTTGAATTAAATTGTTCCTTCTGCGTCTGTAAACAAAGGGGCAGAAGAGCAGTCATACAGGCCAATCACCCGAACACGTTTCTCTAATGGAAACTATTTGTTATTTACTTTGTATATTACCTGTACAAAAAGATGAGTATGCATACAATTAGAAAAATAAGACAAAGCGAGAAGACCGTCACAATCTTCATAACTGTGTCTGTGGTTAGAAGAGACAGAACATCAGTATATAGAGAGATTTGTGAACAGGTAGCACAGCAAAACAAAAAGCACCCAAAGAGCACAAACCTCCACCAAGACAGTTCAATGGGCAGTGTTACTTACTTTCTTCTGTTTAAATGTACTTTTCAATTAAGGGTAACCTGACACATGTTTACTTTGAGTACACAGACATTATGCAGGAGTAGGTGATGGATAATAGGCACCGAGTTGTAAATACCTGGACATGAATAAGTTGAGCTTATTAAATAATGTAATATTGTTAAAACAAATGTTGATGGCTTGTTAACATGACCCCACTCTACACTGCCACAAAGTTTTATGTACGTATTTAAAAAAGGAAAAATATAATTTAAATGTATTATTATATAAAAACAATGCACAGTAGAGATAAAGGTCAATGCCTTTGGAATTCACTCACCGTCAAATAGCTTGATTGGCTCAGATGATCTTTCACCAATTTCGTTTTTTGCGACGCAGTAGTACTCCCCAGGCTGGTCTGATCTCACAAAAATATCCGTACCGTTTGCTACATTTTTGCTCTCTTTTTTGTTTATCCTCTGGTACCATGAATATTGCGTGACTTCAGGATAGCACTGACTGATGCACCTCAGTTTCACTCCTGTCAGTTCATCATGCTGCTCTTCCTTTTCTTTTTCAATCTTTGTGAATTTTGGACCATCTAAACAGAGGAACAGAGAAGAAAAGGAAACGCAAAATAATGACTTCAAAAAAAGACAGAATAGCTAAATATGGAAAGTTTTAAAATGACAATGTACAGTTGCTCTATTCAAAGCTGTTTCATGTAGAGTTAGAAATGTTCCTTTCTCATATCCCTTAGTTGCTGGTCCAAAGTGCACATGCGGCACAACCTGAATGACCTTTCTAAAGCATTTTACTTATCCCAGAATGAAAAACTAAAACCAGTAAAATCAACCACTTGTTAGAGTCCATGTCATATTTGAAGTTTAGATGAAATGAGTAAATAATTACAAAGCAAAGTATTAGACGTGTGGATACTCTGTTGTTGGTGAGAAACAATGACTGAAATATTCAAGTGTACTCACGCTTAACTTTAACTTCAACTTGCACTGATTTCCCCGTTCCAATTTTATTTGTGGCCGTACAGCGGTACTTCCCGCTGTCAGAGACACTGGCAGAATCCACAATGAACGGTGTCCCAGTGCTTATAGTGGTTTCCATCGTCCCAGCGATCATCTTCATCCAGGTGAAGGAGCTTACTGATGGGTACGAGTTGGCACTGCAATCCAGTGTTAATGACTCATTCTCTTTTACAATAAGATCAGGATGACCTGTTATTTTCACCTCTCTGGGGCTATCTGTATTTAACGCAAATTATAAACAAAGAAATGAGATGATATTTTTATTTGTTTGTTTTTAATCACAAGATCTTTCTGTAAAATCATAACCTTAATATTTAAATTATTTACAACTCAAATTCTATTATAGCTGAAATTCAGCAGTAAAATAATCTAATCTGTTAATCAAGAAAAACAACAGTAGTTAATATATTGCAACAATGCCTCATGTTTCTTGAACCTCGTTTCCTGAGCTGATGATGTGTCTTTTGTAAAAAAACAAAAAATAGGAGCTTGAAAGTATGGAACAGCTAAACTTTACTGCCTGAGAAATTGTACTAAAACCACATTTTAGTTTAAGATATTGTCTAGTTATTAGATGATTGAATATTATCAGAATATAATTGTGTTGGATGTAACATATATATGACAAAGACATGCATCACTCAATTGCTTACATTTCACCACCAGTTGCTTTTTTGAGCTCCACTGGTTTCCTTCGCTGTTTGAGGCCTTGCAGGTGTAAACGCCTGCGTCTGTTGAATTTGCCTTAAATTTGTAGGAGTTGTCTAAAGTTAAACTCCATTCTGGAGTCTGAGAATTTGATTTAGAATATCTTGCCAGAGTGAAAGTTGGCAGTGGGAAACTTTCAGCAGTGCAGTTGACTTCGACAGGGTCGCCTTCAGTGACCAACTCAGTCATGTACAGATTGGTATGATTGGGAGGAACTGTGGAGAGGAAGCACCTGTGAGCATCATTTTTAACATGCTGAATGATATTACAAGATCAGTCCTTAAACAGAATGTCAGCTCTATGCTGAACCAGCATTCACTAAATGACGCAGCATGTTTTTATTTTCTTTGTATAAAAGTTGCAGTTTAAGTCAAATTTGAGCTTTTACTTGGGTTAAAATATCTAATTTGACACAGACTAGTTTACTTGACAGTTAACATACTAATTAATTATCATTAGGCAAGTGCAGCTTCATCTAACGCTATGCTACAACAGTAATAATCACATTAATCTGAAAAAGCATGAATGCATTTTTTTCTCTGTGATGGTACTGATTGATAAAGGGAATCAGTTCTAAAACAAAGTGCAGAGAAACTTTAATATGTCAGCAGAGTACTTACACAATACTTCTATGCACACTGGCTCACTAGTGTCCCCTGTGTCAATGCTGTTGCTCGCGTTGCATATGTAACATCCTTCATTTGCTCTTTTTACTTTTTCTAAGTGAAGAGTTTCTATGAAAACCATGAGCATCTTCTTCTGGGGGATGTCAGTCTGCTTATAATGGAACCAGGAATAGCTTGAAGGGGCTGGATATGCATCAGTTAAACAAGTGAATTTTGCGGTTGTATTAATTTTCACACTTGTTTGATGGATAGAAATGTTAGTTTTCCTTGGTTTGTCTGGAAAACAGTAAATAACTTTCAGAATACTTTTGATACTGAAACAGTCAATACAGCATCAACACTAATTTATTTTTATTTTCTCTGTTATGTTCATAGACATATGGAACACAGAGGTTTAAAACTTACATTGAACCGTAAGTTGAAGAGTTTTTGATCCAGAGCCCACAGTGTTCTCGGCACTACATGTGTAATTACCTCTGTCTTCTGGCTGTATGTTTTCAACAACAATTCTCTGTTTTGAATCAATATGTGTTTTGTCTTTCTGCCAAGTAAAAGAGTCTGGTGGTGGGTTGCTTCTCTTTACAGAACATGTAAAAATGACTTTATCTCCTTGTATAATCGTTTTTGGACTTCTTTCAGACTTCTGTGAAATCTCTATGTCAACATCAGGGGCATCTATAACAGAAGATGTCAGTATTTGGTAAAGTTGATTCATTGTAATAATCAGCGCTGAAAATACTGGGCTGATGAATCAGAACTAAAAAAATGCTAAAATACAGGATTCTCATAAAAAATAAAGGCTTATGCCAAATACAACGACAATATCTTAAACTGCACCAACATAAGTTTAAACCACTGAGATACAAACCCATTAAAAGGCATTCAGACATATTCTAAAAATTTGTAAGAATAGATCAATATAATTAATGTGAAACAATACTCACAAATAACCCCGACAGTCACCACTAATTCTTTACTCCCATATTTGTTTACAGCTTTACAGATATATGATCCATTCTGTGATGCAGTAATTGATGAGATCATCCAATTGGCCTTTGAGTCAAGATCTCGACCATCTTTAGTCCATGTAAAAGTGGGCTCAGGTTGTCCTTTAGCAGAGCAAGTGAAACTGACAGACTCTCCTTCCTTTACAACTTTAGAGCTTATATTTGCAGACATGTCTTTGGGAGCATCTGTTCAAAAGGCAAATCAATACAGATTAGCAAATAGTGTGCATACAGGTACACCGTGTGTTGATTGTTTACACAAATGAAATAGACAGAATAGAACAAGTATTGGATTTCAGATACATCCATATATTTACAAATGCAGCAAGGTGAAAATAGCTAATCACATTTATTACACATTCATATCTTTTACAAAAGTAGTAATTAGGTCCACACTTCAGTAGAAATTACATTAATAAACTTTCAGTTATGAACTTACATCCTACAGTGAGGCTGATATTCCGAATCAAACATGGATCTGTATTGTTCTCTGTTTGGCATGAAAACATCCTCCCATCATCCTCCCAAGTGACTTTAAAATTCAGTGTGGTCTTTTTAGGGTTCTCTGGTTTGCTTTGGGAAAGTGATGCCGAAGGACCTTCAATTTTTAGGCCTGAAGTACAGGAGCTTAATGTGGAGCATGTAAGTGTTACATTGCCATTTTCAGTCACGTTTTTTGGTTCCTCAAAAGTGAGCAGACATGGATTTTCTGCAAATGTAAAGGTAGAGACAACAGGAATGTGATAAAATCTAAAAGTATAGCATACAAGCCCTACAAATATGTTTGTTTTAGGAACAAATAATATAAGGCTGCTCCCTGAAGATTTAAAAAACTGTTGCAGGATCATACATTGATGTTACTAGCTTAGTTAAAACTCATGAGGATTGGAATATCAGGTGTTAGCTAAATATGGCTAGTATGCATATAGCTGTATTGTTTATCTGTACTATGTTCCATTAAATGAAACCTAAGGGATCGCTTTACTTATATTTCCAAGGGGAATGCAAATAAGGTGCCGAAAATGGAGTTCTCACACAAGAAATCGTTCATTATTATCATCTTAATGAAATAAAATATGTGAAATGACTTTTTTCTGACCAAATTTTATGTATGAATTCTATGTTGCAATTTCTTCAGTTTAAAAAAGGCATTGTTTTTTTTTTTTTTATCTATCAAATTATTTTAACCAATCAGATTTTTTCTGTAACCACAGCAGCTCAGTTCAGTGTTTTGTACTCTAAAATATAAAACATGAAAACAGTATATCTTTCAGCACTCTGATCTTTGCTCTTACCTGTGACTGTGAGGTTCGTAAATGGTTGTGTAGTCCAAATATCACTTGAAGATGTTCCTACATATCTAAAAGAATAGTTTCCAGTGTCAGTTTTATTCAGGTCGCAAATTAATATACTACACAGTGAGGAAGGAGGATTTTTCCAACTTCCAGATGGAGAGCCGACATATTTCACCCTTTTTGCAAAGTGTGCATTGACAGGATGTTTTGACTCAGAAGAACTGAAAATAGTAGTGGCACTAAAACTGCCATTTATCCAAACTGCATCCTTCATCCAAAACCAGGACGCCGGACCATCACTGACAGATTTTATGATTTGACATTTGATTTCAATGCAGGACCCCTCTGTAGCTGTCAAGTTAGAGTCTTGTAATTTGAAGGGATTTTTAGGATGAATTTCACAAGAAAACCCTATAGCGATGACAAAAACCAGTGAGAAAGTTCGTTAATAAATGTGACCCTAATCAGATGTTAAAAGGAAACAATGCACTAATTATGGAGTAATGAAACACCTACTTTGTATTAGAAACAGCAAAATCAACCACCAAAGGGTGTGACCTGTCATTATCACATAGAACTAAAGCTTGATTTCTGCAACAAAAAACAAAGAATATTTTTTTATGGAACTGAGTCATACTGTAAGCTTTACAACTTATAACAAGGTAGCTTTTTGTTTTCAGTGCAAATACGTGACTGTCAGGATTTTCCTTCTTCCTGTTTGCTACAGCTTTCAGAAAGCTGTTGCTTCTTGAAACCTTATAGTTAATTAAATGGTTACACTTGGGTCATTTTTATCACACATCTACAGCAGTGCAATTTAAATTTTGTTCTTTGGAGAAAAAAATTGTTTTTAACGCATCACTATAGTGCTGTTGGTTTATTGATAGAGTACTTTTGCGTCACTTATGCATTTAACAATTCATTACACACACATAAGAAGAAAGAAGAATGAAAGAATACATTGTTCTGTGGATATAAGGGTAATGTTTCAAAGGAAAACTGCAATCCAGATCAGAAATAATTCAACTCAAAACTTCAGGTTTTCTATAAAAAAAAGAAGAAGACAATAACCATTGCAGCGGTGATGAATCAGTACAGACAGAGATTACATACTTACTGACAACTTGAAATAGGCAGTAAAAGGAACAAGGAAGAGGTTTTCAGACCAAAGCTTATTCTTACCTTAGAGGATCCAGTTAGGGTATGTAGAATGCATGACCCCCTCCTAAAGTAGCAAAAAGGAAGTTTTCACAGTTGACTTAAAACCTTGAATATATTTGCATGCCCAGTCAAGCTAGAGGAGAATGTGAAGATGAAGTTTTCAACAAGCTTGTTACAGTACACATTCAGTTCCTCCCACTTCATCTATTTAAAGCATGGTTATTAAAAGTGAAAGCTTCTGTTTTGTGAGTATTTACAGTGGCTTGCAAAAGTATTCGGCCCCCTTGAACTTTTTCACATTTTGTCACATTACAGCCACAAACATGAATCAATTTTATTGAAATTCCACGTGAAAGACCAATACAAAGTGGTGTACACGTGAGAAGTGGAACAAAAATCATACATGATTCCAAACATTTTTTACAAATAAATAACTTCTCAAGTGTACACCACTGTATTGACAAGCACAGAGAATCTTAAAGTGCTTGGCATTTATTTGCAGAATTTATGCTCACATGGTGTTAACAGTGTACTTTTGTATTATAAATGAAAAATATACACTTTTGAACATTACATGAAGAAAAAAAAATTGACTTCATTTCCCCTTTGCATGAGCAGCCGCTAGTATGTTTTGAGCATCAGCTGCCATCTCATCAATAGCACTGTTTAAAGCCTGCAGCATAGCAGCAAAGGAGCGGCTGACCGAACGGGCATTTCTAGGCATCGCCATCTCCAGCAGCTTCGACGAAACAGTGGCCAAGTCCTTCTCTGCTGCCGCCAACCTCCTTTTCACTTCACCCTTGCTAACCTCTACTGACAACACACAGTTTCGTAACTCTTTGAGTTTTGTAGGTTCCATGCCTCTCTGTCGGGCTAATCGCTCCACGGACTCATTATCCAGGCAAAGAGATAACCGTGCTTTGGTCAAGATTCGCACTCCTATACTTGAATCCACCATAGATGCAACAAGGGGAACAGGAATTGCGGATACCCCACCTGACAGTGAGGCAGCTGCCCATACTAGTGCTTTAAATGCTTCCTTTTTTTGAGTGACCAGAGCTGAGGTGAGTGTTGGTAGAGCTAAGACAAGGGCGTGTGCCTTGATCTCTGGAAGATCATTACTCATATCTGCTAACAGAGTAGGGAAGTCAAACCTCTCCAGGGTGGCTGGTGCAACCAGGTAGACTTTAGGCTGTGCCATACCCTTTGATTTCAGCACTTCCAGACTGGCTTTCTTTTTTTCTTCCAGGATCTTTTCTGAATCTTTAACTGAAGCTAAGAGAATGAAATACACAGTTTGTCGCTGCAGGGAAAGGGCCTCCAAGAAAACATCTACACTGTTGGGTTGGACTGTCTGTGTGGATGTCATAAAGACTGCATTGTAGCGGAGGAACTTGTATCTATCCATGTATCCCTCTGGTTCAAATGGAGATATGTCTGGAACAGGTGGCAGGTCCCACAGGCGAAAGTCAGGGTGTTTGGGGTCAGGGTAGCCTGCTAAACCATCTGGAGGAACAGAGGCTGGAGAAGGAGCTGCTCCATCATCGCCAGCCCCAAGACCACGGAGGGAGTTCATGAAGGAGGCTTTTTCTTCCCCACGGTCCCCCACCACACCCAAATTGATCCTGCTGATAAGGAGGTCTTCCACTGCATCCTTAACATCTGATAACCTATTGCTCTCAATAGATTCCTTAAGGGTTTCAAGGAGGTTTAGGCCTCTGAAGACATCAGCCATCGCTAAGGAAAGACAAAAAGTACAATTATTTAAAAATGTCAAGGCTCTGTGTGCGGGCAGGCAGAGATGAGGATCCAAATGCAGGACTCAGAAAATGGAATGTAACTCAAAAAACCTCAGCTTTATTGCTGGCAGGAAAACAAACATAAAGTGATGACGGAACACTGAGACCAAGAACACACAGGCATAAACTGATGGTACGACGCGACACTGAGCATGGGAAAACACAGGGCTTATACACACAGGGTAGTAACGGGGAAATCGGCAACAGGAGGGAGACACAGCTGGGAGAGATCAGGGCTAACGAGACAGGGGGAACAAAGCTGCACATACTAACATCAGACAGGAACAAGAACCTTCAAAGTAAAACAGGAAACAAAACACACTTTACTAAGACAGAGACTAGACAGAGACAGACTTGACACTGACCAAAGGCTACTAAATGATAATCATAATCACAACAGTATCAGATCATAAATCATAATATAGAAAAACACCAAGATAACTGAAACACCAAGTACCAGAGAAACATAAAGGAAAATCCATGATGCAAAAGTACCAAAACATAATGAACTCAAAATACTGGGTCCAACGTGCCCAGAACCGTGACAAAAAAGGCCTTAAAAATGTTTGGGATAGAAAGTTAATGTAAACCCCCCCAGCTCTAAAACACTTTATTATCTTTCTGAAGTATAAAAATAGAGATTATTACAGCTGGCAAATTGATAAAGGGTAGCTTTAAAAACAATAACTTTGGGCTAACAGAAAGGAGGAGAAAACGACTTACTAAAGAGCTGTACCCAGTACTTTTTCATGATTTAAAAACATCAGTTTTCTGTTTTCTTCTATCTGCTCTACAGTGTTAATTTAAGGTATAATCAATAAATAAATCTTCTGTTGTTTTCTGATGGTTCAATATACAAACATGCAGGAAATTGTTTTCACTGACAGGAAATGTCCTCTCTAATATTCTCATCTGTTTTTATAGATAGTTTGAAGCCCACAGAGGCAAAAAAAAAAAAAAAAAATAAAGACTTAACACAATAAAATTGATGAAGACAAATGCTGAAATGTTAAAAAAACATTGCTGTTAATTCCAGTCAACAATACTACACCTACCTGCACATCTGGAACAGAAATGATCCTATCGCTGAAATATTTTGCCGTCAAACCGCGATTCTCCCACAGCTCTGAAGCACTGACAGCTTCAGGTTGATCTATTTAAGGCTCCATCCAGCTAGTGGAAAGTTCTAATCCTATAAACTCAGCCCTAATCCAAAATCACTTTAAGCACATACATGATTAAACAGAATGTGCAAAGCTAGTGGCTAACATGTTAGCCTGCTAGAAGACAAAGGCATTTGCCAGAATATAAACAAGATACAGCTGTAGAACTTACTTTGTAATAGCATTTTATTTAAGGTGTAATATATACTTTTTCAAAATAAGCAAAATGTCACAAACAGTTACTGTTATCTGGCCAAGAATTTCATTATTACATCTTAATATTTTATACATACATATATATATATATGAGATATATCTATAGGAACTATTTCAGAATTCTTTAAAAAAAAAAAAAGGATAAAACTTTCTACATACTAAAGAGGACAATCAACCTTGTTATTAGTGCTCATACCCATTAGTGGTATGGCGGTACATCATTGCCTGCGGAATTGGCAGCTTGTACATCTAGAAAAGTACCGCCAGTGCTGAAATGTATACACAGGTTTTAGAGCAATAAATGCTCCCATGTATGTAATGTTTTGTTCAGGGAAAGCTGTGCATATTTTAGCAAGACAATGCTAAACTACTAAAGACTCTGCCTACAGTCCAGATGTTTCACCAGCTACAAACATGTTGCACAGTTGTGCATCATAATATGAAAAAAAAATCTAGCAAACAAGACCCAGCACTGTTGAGCAGCTATAATCCTATGTCAGGCAAAAATAGGACGACATTATACCACCAAAAGTTCAGTGATTGCCATAAATTTTAAAATGAGAAGCTTCAATTTACAACCTAACTATATATTTATATAGGGATTGTATCTTTTGCACTGTAACTGGGTTTATGACCTTCACTAAAGTAAATCATCATTATACAAAACACAGTTTGAACCTACACTTAGTAAACGAAGAATAAAGATTATGAATATTCCCCGATAGCTGTCTATAATTCAGATTACAAGATCTGACTGGAAATTACACTTGAGGTTAAGCCCTAAACCAGCAGATTTATTTAGGGTATATAGAACAACACCTGAATGATATGGAGATGTCCTCATGGTAGTGCTACAATTCAGCATCTGTTTCTGTACCTCTGCTTCTTTCTTTATTAGTGCTGACACAGTGAAAGAGCAACCTGACAGTTTTGTTTTTCTTTCATTTATTAAATTCCTTTTTGGCATTACTAATAAAGAGGAACAACCATTAAAACTGTTAGAGCTATGCAGTACTGCATGTTCAAAAGTCATGAAAAATACAGAGTTTCCCCCTTCTTATTTTTAGAGGAACCCTGTATGCAAAATAACTAGCACCTGCTAAGCGTCAGATGTTATTTTAGGTTCCATCTGTGAGTAACTCCTCATCTATTTGACAGCAGGGGACAATTGTTTTACTTCTATACCAGATTTTCTCAACCATAACTTACTGTCACAGCTGGGTGACACCTTGACATTAGAACCAAGTTGCTAGGAAACCTGTGGGCAAGATGTAGTTAATGTGTTACAGTTTGTTTTTTTTGTTTTTTACATGTCTGTTTCTGTGTGGATCAAAAAAACAAAATGTATGGTTATAGTCCTGAACTTTGGGCAGACAGACAGAGCAATAGCTTTCGTCTTTGCAATACCACATGTAAGCTGCGAGCCTGTGTCTGTGGTATTGATCTTATTAAAAGCAAAGTTCTCAAAATAGCCCACCACACGAATAGTGCATGAACATGAACTTTGATGTTCACTTTAATTAAACATACATTTCTTAGTCAAGCTTAAAGTCTTTTTAACCCTTTCATGCATGCATATGACAACCTCAATCAGGTTTTTTTTAAAATTATTTTTATTCATCTTTAGGCATCCAAACAAGATTTTTGAACTTCATTTTTTTAAAGATTTAGTTTTCTACATGTCCACTTAGGTGGACAACATATGTTTTGACTGGGTGGCAGGGTATGGAGTGACACATCAGTGTCAATGTAGTGGTTTATATGCAAGTGTGCTGGAATACAAACCACTATGCGTGAAAGGGTTAAAGCCACAGTATGATCTTAGCTAGTTGTACATGCTACTTATTTCTTCACATGATATGCCAGCTCATGCAGCCCTGTACAGTATACACTAGTCCATCTTAATGCAAAAATCAGAACGGCAAATATGCAGCAAAATGAAATTCTACATTATATATTCACAGCTTTTTATTGTCTTTGTACTTGATCAAAAAGACGTACAGGGTGGTGCTGTCAGTAGCACTGTTGTCGCCCAGCAAAAACGTCCTAGGTTTGAAACCAGCCTGGGGCCTTTCTGTGTGGTGTTTGCACGTTCTCTGCTGGTTCCCTCTGAACATTCTGACTTCCTCCTACAGTCCAAAGTCATGCAGGG